TGAAATATTTATTTTTGTTTTTCTTATTACAAAAAAAAATACCTTCAGCATGACTTTCTGAAAATTTTTCTATTTTTTCGCTTATCTAAGTACTATTAAACATTTGATTAAAAAAAAAATTATTGATATAAAATATTTATAAATGTAGAAAATTTATTAATTTCAAAAAATTTAAAGCTGCATTGTTAATTTTAATAACTGTAATATTTTTATTGCACTTTTATATTTCCCCCCTCACCTTTATCACTCTCCTCTACTACTAATAAGATTAAAATTTTAATTAAATTAAATTGCTCTGAGCTTTAATATGTGCAGCTTCTTATTTCGCATTAAAGTTGCGCTATGCAATGCAATTTATCTCTATTAAATCTTGCTTCAATTTATATTAACAATTTTATTTTTAACTTTTATTTAGTTCTTTTTTGCTTCTTTTGCGCTTAAATTTATTGTCATCTTTTGTGTCTTGCGCTGCCGCTTTGGCGCTCGCACACAAACACATACACGTGCATTGTGGTGTATTTGTTGTTGTTTGCTTAGCTCGGTCCGCTCGTCGCATTACCAATGTTTATGGTCATTTTGACTGAAATGTTAAAAAAAAAGTGAATTTCTGTTTACTTAATCAAACTTTGTTAATTTACAATTTATAGCCAAGTGCAGTGACTGCGTTGCCAGCGCGCTGCCGCGACGCGTAGCTATTTCATTCCCCACCAATTTTGGTAATTATGCAGCAGCGCTGCAACGTCTGTATTTAATTTACTTTATTTTATCACATTTTTTCTGCTGCTGCTGCTGTTGTTGCTTTATATCAGTTTGTCTCGATCTGCTTTTGTTTTTTTTATTTTGGTTCGTATCTCCGTCAATCTTAATCTTCTTTTAGTCGCTTTGATTTAGTTTTTTTTTCAAATTTTTATTTAATTTTTTTTTTTTTTGCTTTTAATTTATGCAAATTGTTTGAATTAAATTTTGAAATTCACCCAACCACGGGTTTGGCACATCGTTAAAGCGCTCATTTTGGGCGCAGTCAATGCAAGACTTATAGCTCCGGGGAATACAAAGACAAATTAGAAAAACACAAAAATTCAAAATTTAAAAATAGTTGTGATTTTAGTCTAAAGCTTGCTGCAATTGTAAATGTTAAGTCGTGAGCTGTGGCAACAATTAGTAAGCAATGTGTTCAATGCGCTCAGCTACAGACAACCGTTAATATCTATAATGCTGGCAGGTGCTTGCGCCTTGTCGACTACTTTGTGTTGTTTGCTGCAATTTTTGACTTGAATTAGACATTTTTTATATTTCATTTGGTGTTGTAAATTATTTTTTAAAAATGCTTTTGCAACGCTTTAGGGATTATAAGCATATATAATAAACTATAAATATTCGTATAATTATTCTAAAGACGCTCTCTTTAGTTTGTTTGACTTTAAATGCCATCATAATAACAATGTTGCAAATGATCCTTGCGATTAGCGTAATTTGACATTTTTCAGAATTATAGTAAAATTGATAAATTAGCTGACAACCTCAAGCAACAACAAAAAAATTCCAAACAAATACTTACTACTTTCAAATAAAACTAAAAACTCTCAACTAACAAGTTTCCGATAAAATATAATTTGCATATTAGACAGATTATTATTGTTGTTTTTTTTTTTTTAAATAGTATGCGACTAATTAATTATTTTCGTTACATACTGTACCTCATTTTTATACTACATAAATTTTTTTACACTTAAAAATAATTTTTTATCATAATAACTGTCAATTCTATAATAATTTTTTAGCATTATTATTTTTATTTTCAATTGAATATTATAATTTTTGTTATTGTTATTATAGTTTCGAATAATTTTTCATTAACCACATTTTGCTTTTTATTTTTAACATATTAATTGTTTTTCTGCAATTTTTTTATATTTTGCAATAATATTTTTAATAACGAGCCAAGATTTGTTGTCGCATTTTATGTTAATCAATCATAACAACAATTGCCGAAATTCGTCATTCGCGACTGACCCCAAAGAAAACGATTTATTAAAATCTCGAAAAAAGCTTAAAAAAGCTCATTTCAATTACATGTTCACATAATGTCAACAACAACAACTGCCAACCCAACAAATTCATGGCATTAAAAAATAGACAAAAATAAATACAATAGATAAGTAGACAAACAGTAGCGCCATAAGCCGTACGTCAGTCCAATACTGCAAGACAAACGCGAACAAGAAGGCAATACAATTTCAAAAGCGTGAATGGGGGGAGCGGGTGGATAACAGCAGCACACAGGTTAGAGGGCCTGCTATGGATTTTCATGACAATGAAACGCTGGTCCAGCACAATTAATCATTGCCACTGCGTAATTGCGGCTAACCAGCAACGGCGTTTGACTTGTACGCGAACAGACGGCTGACGGTTGGCTCTTGGCTATTGACTATTGACTGCTGGCCTTCCGCATAGCTGCAGCACGCAATCAACGGGCAGCGAATGGTAGCGGCTGGCAGCAGCAGCAGTTGCATGTAAAGTGTAATCAACAACAACAGAAATAGCGTTAGCTAAGTATGGAGTTATAGCTAGGCTAGGCAACTAAGCAAATCAGCTACAAAATGTCAGCAGCGCCACTTCAGCGCCGATAATAGCATACACGAAACGTACATACATACGCATGCCTGAGCATGCATGTGGAACTGACTGATCATCCATCATAGCAAATTAATATACGAAATTATTTTGTTTTTACTTTTTGCCTTGTTTATGACAGCAGCAAAAATTGAAAACCAATTTTATTTGATTGCGCGACAGTTTTGATTGGATAGGCTGTGTTGCGTGGACATGAACTGCAATATGCAAAGCAGCAACAACAAGTATATTTAATTGTCACAATGTACAAAAACAGACAAAATTTCAAATAGACACTTAATTAGCATGAATTGGACAGTTCAAACAACTGCGGATTGGCTTTTTGTTGCTTATTTAGAAAAATTGCATAACTCCATATGACATTAGTTTGGAAAACAAATAGTTGGTTTTGCTTGTAAAATTATAGCTAACAGAGACATAATAATTTTCGTTCATCAGTGTTCGTATATAATTTCGGATTTTGGATTTATGGCTGTCAGAGTCAGTACTGGCTAAATGCCTTTGCATTCAAATCTCTTAATAATCAACAAGTTGTTGATGTTTTTTAATCGGCCAGTATAATTGCAATCAGTTACTTGCGCAAACAGCACTCAAATGCAAATCGCTTGCAATTTGTTAATGAAGTCGTATTATATGTGTTAGCGAAGTTGTAATTAACAGTTATATATTGCATTTTTATGCAAATAAGGCCCTTCGTGAATTAATTAAGCGCTAGATCACAAAAATTTAACAGGCCAATAACTCATTTATTAAAAAAAAATAGTAATTTTTGAAAAACAAAAACAGAAAAATATACGTAATTTCTTAAAAGCAGTAGCAATTAAAAAGCTTTTTGGAATGTGTATTTGTAAATTTTGGCGCTAGTTGTGGAATTCTTCTTATTAGTATTCTTTAAATATCAGTACAATAATGAAAACTTTCCCGAATGGCCATTTTTGTTACAATATATATATTCCTATACTTAAGTATATTTTTCAATATATTTGAAAGCTTTCAACTTCTTTGTAAAAAGTATGTGTTTTTGTAGTAAATATCTTTTTAATTACATTAGTTTCATGAACTTGAGGTTCAAAGTTTTACATCTATGAAAGCTTCGACTAAGCTGCTGTAAAAGCTTAAGTTGGCAGCAAACGATTTTTTCTAAAATTAAAATTATTTTATTAAATTAATGCTCAAAAAAAGTTATATGACAATGAAAGCTTCAACTAAGCATTTACTGCTGTAAAAGCTTTCATTAATTTTAATAATAATAAGCATATATGTTGTATTTTCCCTAAATTTTGTTTCTTAAAATAATTTTTGAATTTTATAATTTCATTTAACTTTAAGTATATAAGTACCGTTTCCGTACAATTTTTTCTATAAGAGTGTGCGTGTGTGTATCGACGTCGCTATATTTCCACTCTATGTGAATTTATGCTGTGCTTCTCCTTGAAAATATATCCACAATGGTTTCATGTTTTCATTTTTAATTGCCTCAATTTATTTCAAACTTTTATTTCGCCTACTGCCCCCCAAATCCCGCCAACCACCCAAGCAACATCATTTCCTCCTCTTCTTCAGTGAATGCACTCAAACAAGCAAATTCAATTTCACAGGTTTTAGTTGTGCAGTCACCGACATCACCAACACACACGACCATACAAATTAAAGAACCGCCAATTAGTCCTGGAAGCCCAACAACAGACACAATGTACGCTGCCGGTGGCGGCACACAAATCTACTTGCAGGTGAGTGTAAATGAGCATAAATAAAAAAGGCGAATTATTGTAAATATTAAGAAACGACCGGAATGACCAAAGAAATGAAATAGTTTAGTAAATTAGAAATGAAATTTATTCACAAAAAAAAGTATTGATCTATAAGAATGCAAAAACGAGTTCTTAATATTCACACTTGGCGGAAAAGGCTTTAAGCAGAACTTATAAAATCTTACAAAGTATGCAAATTAATGAAAAGCAATTAATAAAAGAACAAAAGCAAATCGCAAACCAAAAAGACACTGCGCACGCGCGAGCCGCATCAGCAACTTCGCCGCTAGTGACCTTCCGTCATTTGACAAATTACCAAATTATTAGCGGATAATTTCACTTTTTAACGAATCTGGTCAGGGCAACTTTTGGGAAAATATACAAGTGAACAACCAGCTGCTGCAGTAGCGCCAAGGAGAGCATGACACATACTACATACGAATATATATGTGAATAAAAAACTATATACAACGGCAAAAATGTGGTATCAACCATAACAGAGAATCTTAGTATATTCGGAATCGAAGAACCGACGCCGAGCGTCGAAAGAAGCAAAGAAGTGCAAAGTTAAAAGATCAAAAGCAGCAAGTGTGGTTAATGGCCAGGCAAGGTGGATGGAGCGACCCGCCGCCGTTTGATTAAGCGATCGATTTTTGTTACTTTGACAACTTGTAGCAATTAGCACGTCAACGCGTAACCGGAATTTGGCAATTTCTGCGCTTGCGCGACCGACGGCACACCTACGATTGCCGAAAGCCGCAAAACGAAATGTGTGAACGTAAAGTGCAGAGTGTTAAGCGCATTATTGAGCCGCCCATTGATTGCATATAATATACGCAATTATAAACAAATTATGTTCCAAATATACACACACGACGACACACTGACTTTGACTAACTAATGTTTTATATATAAATATTTACTAATTTGTGAAACTGAAAACTAAATATATATTTCATTCTTATCTTTTTCACGTTTGTCAACATAAAACCGTTAACCAACTAAAACTACATTTCGACAAAAATGTATGGTATGCGAAACAGGGCGCTCATCAGTCCAATGCACCCGGTTCCGCTGGCGGTCCAAATAATGTGAATGTCAACGCGCAGACGCCTAGCCCCGGTCCCTACATCACACCCGACGGTTATGGCATGTACACCACGACACGCCTCACTTCGGGCGGCCCCACATCAACCTTCATTACAGAGCCTTATTACCGCGAATTTTATACCACAGCCACCACGGCCGACACACAGACTGGCTATGGACAGGCGCCACGTAACATTGTGTATGGCGGTGCTGAGAGCGAGCCACCACATCCGGGCACTACGTATGAGGGACGCTTCACCACGTCCGCAGCACCCGTGACCAGCATGCCATCGCACACCGCAGCCAATACGGGCGCAATGAAGAACGGTACACCAGTGTATGCTAAGACCATCACGGCTGCTGGTCTGACCGTGGACTTGCCGAGTCCGGATTCGGGTATTGGCGCTGATGCGATAACACCAAGGGATCAAAATAATATACATCAGGTATGTGTGTAGTAGATGTGCATACAAATATAATTACAGTAAATTGCAATTTATTTATTTTTTGTTTTTGTTTTTGCTGCACAGTTATTCGAAAGTTTTGTGAAAGCTCTTAGCAGTGGCGTAAGCACACAAGCTTATATGAGCTTTTGACACTCCGTCCTCAACTAAAGTTGTACCGCAATATTTAACTATCTGCCTCTTTTACACTCTCTCTCTCTCTGTCTCTTTCCCGCTATTTCATGACATCGCCATTGCGCTAAGCCCAGGCTGTATTTTCTAAAGGGGACTTCCGAGCTTTGGACTCGTATTTGAGATGAATGAATGTGTATGTTTGTGGGTATTTCGTTTGTGCAGATTTTGTAGAATTTCTATATTGTTACTGTAGTTTTGTACTGTTGTTTTAGTTGTTAGTTTTGGCAAAGCTTTGTCGCACTTTACTGAGATTTATGATTTTGGTAATTATTCCGAATTGTGTTGTTATTATTGTTGTTGTGATTGTGTTTGTTGTAATTGTTGTATAGGCATGTGTGAACTGTTTGTATTTGGTTTGTGTTATCGTTATGAGGTTTTCGCTGGTTGTAATGTTGTTGCTGTGTGCTTTGTCAGTGTGTTGTTGAGTTGTTTTTTGTGATTTATGAGCGCAGTTATATCTTCTAGTTCTCTTCGCATTCACGATTATCTGATGAGGCCATTGCTGTAACCGCTGTTCCATATCGTCGCTATTGATTCTCTGTTTTTTTTACAACCTAAATTTTAGAAAATTCTCATCAAAAATTTATACAAAGTTCTGCTAATTTATGTGCACACATATGTACTAAATAATTATTTTTTCCTTTATTTCTTTTCATAATTGTAACATCTTCTGTCCTGCCTGCGTACAGTCTTTCGACTACACAGAGCTTTCTGGCACATTATTGGACAGCAATGGCGGCATTCCAGTTTCGGTGAATAGCATACAACGCGGCGCCGTGAGCGTCCATGGACAAAATAGCCCGACCACATCGTTGGGCGGCTCGACGCCGAATGGCGCTACACGCTCGAGGCCATGGCATGATTTTGGACGACAAAATGATGCGGATAAAATACAAATACCAAAAATGTAAGTACCGAGTTATTTTAATAATTGATTTTAGGGTATGTAATTAAAAGTTTTAAGCTAGTTGTTTATACTTATTTGATATAAAACAATGATTTTCGTTAAAAACAAAGTTAAAAAAAAATTCTGAAGATTTTTGTATATTATTAAACTCTGAGCGTCTATGTAAGCTATTTAAGCCTGAAAAAGGTCTTGCTTTCACAACTATTTCGAAAACGTATCACAGCAATCTTTAAAGAAAGCTTCTGCGAAAGCTCGAATTTATTATGTTAATAAAACTTCTTCTTACAATATTTCCAAGTAATGAAGAAGTTTATGAATAGTAAATATTTGTTCCAAAAATTTTGAAATGAGTTTTTTTTGAATAAAGATTAAAAATATTTGAAAAGTATGAAAAAGTAATGTCTAGGATAATTTTACAAAACAATCTGAAAATAAAATTAAAAGTCTGTTTATATTCAGATAGCAAAAATTTCAAATAATTTAATTTTTCTCTTGCTTTTCCCTCTCACTTGCAGCTTCTGCAATGTCGGCTTCCGCTACCATCTGGAGAGTCCAATCAGTTCATCACAGCGACGCGAAGACGATCGCATCACATACATCAACAAAGGACAATTCTACGGCATCACTTTGGAATATGTGCCCGATCCAGATAAGCCCATCAAGAACACAACTGTCAAGGTAAGTGCACATACATACTTACATACATATACACTTACTTACGTATATGGGTAACCCAGGAAGAAGCATGAGAAAGTTAAACTTAAGCGATCTTTTAAGCAAATTTTAAGTCAAATTTTTTTTACTATTTAATAAATGCATAAGTAAAGGCAAAGAAAGTGCAAGGGTTACAATTTTAATGATGATTAATTGTTGTAGACAGCCACCGATCAGTTTAACTTAAGCGCAATATCTATGCGAAGATCTGTGGGCCGATTTGTTGCGCTCCCGTTGCACGGCTTATCCGTATTGCATATCAAAGTAGCAGTTGAGTGATTGCGAGAGGATAAGAGTGAAGAACGAAGGCAGTAGGCAAAAGGATTGCGCGCGAGCAAATATTTGCCAAGTGGCGGCGCAACCCTCCGGAAAGGATATGCCTGCAGTGTCTTTGACGATCACGTGATGATGATGATGAATGATAGCTGATGATTTGTACATTTTTTGTTATGCCACTTTCTTAGTTTGTTTGTCTTTGCCTCAGCATTTGAATATCAATCAGTAGCAAATGCAAATACGAAGTGCTTATTTCGATTACGTATACGAGCCGAATGCTGCAATAGAATTTAAATTTTGAATTTTAATTTTAGCGGCGCGGAGCAAATGTTTGCACAGGATCTGAACCTTAGGAGAACAAAGCTGTTCGCCTTAAGCAGCACTTTTGCATTTGTTTTTTTCTTTTGCTTCAGTTTTTTTAAAGTAATTCTATGTCGAGCATTCATCAATCAGATAAGACGACATGACGAATGAGCCGACAGCCATAAAGTGACGCACATACAGACACACATGCAAATGCATACGGTCACAGCAGCTTTGATATGTGATATTTGAGCTGAATGATATGCAAATGCGCCGAGTGCCGAGGACCGCTGAAAGGATTGTTGCGCCAGGATAACTGTCGGCAACTGTAGCGCTTCCATGCGTATGCTTACTGCGCCGTTACTGTTTTCATTTCGCGCTTTCATTGTTATGTTTATGCGGCGCTCAACGCTTCCAAGTAATTGGAGTCGACTGCCAATGCAGCATCGTATTTCCGTCCGTCAAATGCAAGAAGAACAACAACAGCATATTGTAATCATACAAAATTACCAACATATATGGCTTGCAGCAGCTATGAATCGCAATTTGTTTATGCAACACATAACTCGTCGACGACACCAATCAAAAGCTGTGAAAACATTCAAGTAAAAATAATATTCAAATTGCCCGCGGAGAATTCGGGGAAATTGGTGAACCAGCATTTATTTACAGTTTTTCGGGTGTGTGCGTGTTATTTGCGCTAAATATGGCAACTTTCACGCGCGACGACCGAGTGAAATTCGCCCGACAGGCAATGTGACACTTTAGGAGTTAATTGGACCATTCCAAAAGATAACTAATATCTTGTAAACGCTGTTGTTAAATAACATTTTAGTTGTAGCCGCTATTTTTTTTTTGTTTTTGTACGCATTTTTGGTGTTTTTGTACGCATGCCGTTGGCAAAAAATAGTCTGTGCACGCAGGCGTTTGCAATTTTCACTTTGCTGTCATTTTCCGACGACACACAGTGGGCGGTTCATGCGCAAGTTTTGCTCGCAGAAAATCATAAAGCATGTATGAGGTGTCTATAAGCTGTAAATGGTGTTGGTTTTTAGTTTTGTAGAAAGCAACACTAGTTGGTAGTAATTATAAGGATGAATGTTGCAAACTTGAAAAAGTTTTCGATTGTGCTCTCCATAATGCCTTTGTTATCTATTGAAAAGTCATTCTTAATTCTTAATTTTGTAATATAAGCTTATAAATTTTCATCGCAGTTACTTCTAAAAAGCTACTATATATGTACATATATTACTTGCTCTCGCCTTTGGGTTACTATGAGATCAAAAATTTATTGAGTTTGTCTAACTGAATAATAAAAAATTGGTATTACAGAATAATAAAAATATACATAATTTTTATTAAAGCTTTAAAATCTTTGGAAAAAAAATTTATTAATTAATTTAATTTTTTTTTTTTTGGAACTAAAATTTAAAAATTAATTTTTTTAATTAAAGAAAATTTAAATATATTTTAAGCACAGTCAAACTATGACAACAAAAATTAAAAAAAACAACTTTAACTTAATAATTCAAAACAAAATAAATATTGTTTTTTAAGTTAAAATTTTTAATTATTTTTAATTTCAATTAAAAAAATATAATACAATTATCAAGGTGTTGATTTGATTTCTTTTCAAAGAAATAATTTTTACATATATTATTTTCATAATGAAACACGCATTGTGCCACAAAGCTGCCTCCGAGTAGTCGCGCCCATAATTTTATCAAATTTTTAATATCAAATTGCTAGAAAATCGTAAGCCACTACTAAAGCAATTACAAGCAGTTAAATTTCAAATGCCGATTGTTGTGAAAAAAATTAATAATTTGCCAATAAATTGCAATAGTAAATATTAAAAGACAAAATAAAACAAAAAAATTGCATTGGAAATCAAGTTTCAAGCTTGATGCGTTTCTACACGCTCTTCAGTTTCTTGGCCGCGCCAACATTTGCCGCCAAACTTGCAGCCGCTTTCATTTTCCAATGCCCAGCGCGTTTCGGTCTACATCGGCGATAACTGCTCTCCAGCAACAACAAGCAACAGTCAATTGAAACCTAATGCATTTTTAGTGTTGCATGCTGCATTTGACGCATATGTATACTAACTATTTACATAAAAATCCAATAAATTTGATTGCGCATAACGCCAAGAGCGGCAATGAATGCATCGGCAGCAGCACGCTGCGCAGCCATGAGGCGAAAGTGTCACAATTAATTTATGTTTGTTTTCCTAATGCGCCCTACTGCTCACCACTAGCATAGGCAGTCAACTGAGCGTCACAAGAAATTAATGCAAATTTTTAAAGATGCGCGCAGACAATAAAACAACCAAAGCAAAAAATATAGAAAAAACACTGTGAACTACTTGAAGATTCCCCGAAGTAAAAGGGGCAAAAAAACACCAAGGAATTAAAGGAAAACAATATTTTACTTCAGCACAGTAGCAAATCGGGTTAAAGAGATGCATAAGCAAACACATACACACACACACACCAGTATTTGGTAGTGTTGCACACCGCGCTCCCTCAGGTTCCTCAGGTTGGCGAAAAGGATGCGCGCGTGTGAGTGCTGCAATTGTGCGTGAATTTTCGAAAAAGCAAAAACCAAAAATACAATTCTATGCGCCGAACGTAACACTTTCTGGCTGCCATCCTGAATATCTGAAAATAAAAATGCAAATTTGTAAGAAAAACGATGAGAAGACAAAGTCGGCGCATAAGAGCGCTGACTAAGGCAAAGGTGCACTCTTTAACCGAGGGTTGCGTCACACTCGTACTTTAATTTTCCTCTAATATATGTGCATGTGCAGGCGAGTGTACCTACATGGCCTATGTGTGAATTATGATGATGATTATTTTTTGACTTTTGAAAAGGGCGCTGAACCATGTATTTCACAACAAAAGTATAACATGCCAACACACACCATGTCGCTCTTTTTATACTCTTTTCATATTCATATGCACATAAATATGTGTATAAAATTACAATAATAATGCATCTTTGAATGGAGCAACCCACGTGGAATTGTTGTTACGACACAACGCGTATGCCGAAATTGCTTTTGAGCTAGGGCAAAGGGGCGATAGGAGCGTTGGTAGGCATGTGCGCTTGCGCAGAGGCTACCCACATAAATTGTAACAGAAAAATACCGTTTGCTTCATAAATTCCGAAAACACCATAACGTATCAAGCAATTGCATTAATTTTCCTTTCATTCGTTAATTGGGTTGTGAGGATTAGTAAAGAATAGCCGGATTAGACGCAGCTAAGTACGACTGTGAAGAGAAATAGTTTGAGAAAAATTAAAAAAAAACCTTATAAGTACAATATTTACAACTTTATAAATACCAAATACCGCTGTATATTTAAATTTTTATTTATTAATAATAAAAAATATAATTAAAAAACTTCGATCAAAAATTGCAGATTTAATAGAGAAAGCAATTTTTTTTAAAGATAGGTATATTACTTTATTTACAGTAAACCGAAAAATAAATTATTATATTATTTTAAGGTATAAAATAACAAATATTAAAAATAAAGCATAAGTTTAGTATAGAAAACTTTGGTTAATATAAATAAAAATATATTAGTTTTTTTTTAAATAAATTTTACTACTTATTTATTTTGTATAAAATTTTAGTATTAATTGTAAAAATAATTTAATATTTTGAAAACAATTTAAAATTCTTAATATTATCTAGTTTATTAAAATTTTGCAATTCTTATTTCATCCACAGAGCGTTATTATGCTGATATTCCGTGAAGAGAAGAGCCCCGATGATGAAATCAAAGCTTGGCAATTCTGGCATAGCCGGCAACATTCGGTTAAACAGCGCATTTTAGATGCAGGTCAGTCGAGTATTTGACACTTAAACTTTTTGAAACAAACACAGAAAAACTAACGTAAAATTAAAAATCGAATTATTTTAAAAAAAAATTTAACATGGCAACGCTTTTTTGCAAACAAATATTTACAACACAACTCTAAACCATATTTTGCACAAAAAAAAAGGAATTTTTTAATAAGTTTAACAAAAATTAATTTTTAAAAGAAATAATCACTTTCAATAAATTTTCAAAATTAAAAAAAAAAAAAAATTTTTACTACAAACTAATTTTTCATAGTTTATTTAAAAACTCTCCTGATAAACTTCAAAACAAATTTCAAATAAAAAAAGGTGTCTCTCTTTAAAATGTTGCTCACTTGACTCGCCTTACAACATCTGAGCTGCAATAAACATGCATTTTTCCTACTTGCAACAACACACATTTATCATCAGCGCTGAGCTGTCATTCTTATAAAACGATTGTGCTTGCTGTTATTGTCTAGACAAATGCGTTTCTGATACTCATTAAAAGTAAAAATTAACAACTTGCCACATTGATGCTTATCAGCAGCAACTAAAAGCTGAATAAAATACAGAGGAATCAAAAGCAACACTGCCAATTTTGCTAAGCTTCGCACACACTTTTTCCTCACTTCCCCTCCGTTTCTTAATTCGCTGTAAATTACAAAACTTTATTGAATTCTAACTATTGATTGTGAAATGTTGAAGGCGCAACGATTTGCCGCCACTGATAAGCGCCGCGATGCTGGCCACATGAGCGGCCTTTCGATCGAAAGGCCAATTGTGTGTGTGCGCCCAAGCACTTCAGTCAAATCCATACAACATTTTCAAAAAAGCGCGAACGTGCCACATGCGGTTGGGGCTGGCTGGGGATGTAACGGCGTTGGCTGACTGCCGCTGTAATGTACGTATGCGCACTACACAGTGTTTTGTGCATGCTTACCACAATGTGACCAACATTTACACATTGACTCACTGCATTGTTGCAAGTTTTATGCCATTTTTCATGCCCACCAGCTGCGTTGCCGGAGCGTTCATGCGCGCTGCTAATTGGGTGCTACGCGTGCGCATATTCATCCATTGGTTTTATTGAACGCGGACGCACACGCAAACACAAAGCCACATACAGCATGTGGCATGTGGCACTTTGACTAAATTGACAAATGTTGTAATTTTCATATAAGAATATTTAATTCTACAAATACTTATGTTCTTTGCGGCCCCCCTATGCGCACTGTCGCACCACCCTCGCCTTCAGCTCACAGGCGCCTGCTGTTTATCAACTGTTATGTATTGAATATGTGTGTGTGTTTAATTTATGCCACATGCTGCTTATAAACATGTGGCATTTAATGAGTGGTGCGACTCATAATTTAACGGTAAATGTTAAATTTCATAACTGTTGTTTTGTCTTACATCTCAGCGAAGACTTTTTGTTCTTTGTCAAGCCGCAGAGTTTCGCAGTACAAAAATAAGCAACAAAAGCTGAAGCTTAAAGCTCATTAATAAAAAATAATAATTCACTAATTAACAGTACATGCACAATTTTGTTGGTACGTAGTCGTTAAATTGATTTTTTAGAGAATTAGCGAAAAGTAGCAGTTCCCAAAAAAAAAAAATGTAAAACCTGTACAAAAAATATGAAAAATTTTTTTAACTAAAAAATGCAAATTATGGTCAGCTAGTTTGTATAACTTATTTTTTAATATTCAGATTCCAATACTTTTCCAATTTTAAATATTTAAGAAGAAGAATGAGTAGATAAAAAACATTTTATTTCATAAATTTTCTAAACGATGTTTCTTCTAATTATTTTTAATAATTTAAGGGTTGTCATAAGTTTAATTCTTTTTTGTATCAGATTCTTTTGACAAATCTAGAAAAAAAGCTACTAGAATTAGCTAATAAATTGCTCTCTACAAAGATCCCTTAATAGCTAACCGATATAGTCATTTCGTTTAAATACCTTTATATCCGCTTAAAGTAGTCATTTACCTCGCCATTTTAAATTTTCCCGCTCCCCATGCGACAATTATTAATTAGCTTGTTGTTGTTGCCCTACTTGCAGATACGAAGAATTCCGTCGGTCTAGTTGGCTGCATCGAGGAGGTCTCCCACAATGCCATCGCTGTCTATTGGAATCCGCTGGAGAGCTCCGCCAAGGTAAGTGCCTCACACAACACAATAAGCATGCGCTTAAAAATTGCAATGCTTGAGTGAAAAAAGTGCAATAGTTAAATAGCTGCTTGAGTTTGCGAATGGGAGCGGCACCGGAAATTGTCCCTTCATGACAGCAGCTGGCTCGCACACCAAGCTACCACTGATCAATGGTCGCAATACCAATTAACTGGCAAACAAATTAGCCCGGGGCGTTTCAGCGGCAACAACACCGCCATTACCAGCATCCACGAAAGTAACCGCTTTTGCCGGCAATGAATAATTACTAAAGCCGCTCCAACTGCGGCTGCCGCTGCTGCTGCAGTTACACCCTGCCGCCTAGCAATTATTCGCCGTCGCGCGGCCTAACACCGCAGACGTTGACAAAGTTGTTGGCTCACAGAAATGCAGATGCAGAATGCGCACCGCGCGCTAGCTACCGCACACTTACATAATGACTACTGTATACGGTAGCTGGTAGCAACCAAAGTGATCAAAGCGCAGAGCAATTGATAGCGCAGCGCATGCTGTTCGTGCGGCGTGGTCCTGGTGTGGTCGCCCCGCACAGTTTGCAGCCAATGAATTTAATGATAATGAAAACCCATAAATATCAAAAAGCGATTAAAGCTAATCAAGCTTAATTGCGAATTTCGCCAAAGCACACACACACACATGCGCGCACACTCACACACACAGCTAAGCAGCGACCAAAATGTAAAAAAAAAAGTTATTGCATCACCGAAAGCGTGCAACCTTCCAACAACAAACTAGACATCCGCTTAGACGCGCTGAGGTGATCACAAAGTGCGCATGCTCATAACTTATAAAAAATATCTCAATTTCCGTCTGCGTTGCAGTCGAGGCAGCCACCGCAGTGTTGCAGGCTAGAAATCTTAGCCGCGCCACCTCAACGAACGATCAACCGGCAGTGGTGTTATTACAAGTTTGTTGCTATTATTGTTATCGCTACCGCTGTCGTTGCGTTAAGTATAATTATTGTTTTCGCATTTGTGTTGTTACTCTTGTGCCGCTATTTTATTATCTAAATTCGACTGCAGGGTGCAAAGTAATTTCGCGCATACGCGCTGTTGCTACTTGCAGCATATTCTTATTAGCGGCGCGATGCTGTCAGCGGCTACTGCTTTTAGTATTGGCGTGTTGCTTTTATAGCTTATCTCTTTAGCTGCGCTCTGCTTGATGCATTTGGTGCTACGTTTGAGGCTTTGATCTAAGCATTTTGTCACTTCTCTCACAGCTGACAAGCGTCGAATTTCAATTTTCATTGAAAGCAACAATACAATTGAATTCACTCTCTGATGCAACAATTTCTATCTGATATCAAGTGCAACATGCGCTCATTGGCTTTAGCCACTAGCCAGTGTGGGTGAAGTTTTTGGTTGAAAATGTTGCATACAATAAAGCATTGCTAAGCCAAATGACTTTTGCGGTTAGCATATTCAGGAATTTCATTTCGACAGCAACCTCTTTGGCAATAATTCGATTTTGCTTGTGGTCTCTAGAGTATCAAAACTTTGCACAGGCACAATATCTCGACATTGAAGCATATAAAATAAAAAAAAATATTAAATTACAATTCTGCTATCCATTCAAATCGTCTCGGAAAATTTTTACTGCTGCCACGAATTATGAAATATTGTAAGAAAAAAACTGTTTTGAGTAAAAAAACTTTATTTAAATATCAAATAATATTCAATACAATATATATAACTAAAAAAAATTTTTAAAAAGTATTTGGAAATTATATATCAATATTTTTTGTCGCAAATTTGCTTCTAACTCAAGCCACATGCACTCAAACTTATACTCAAAGCTGTGTGAAGTGCGCTAAATCGCTTTTATTTGCATAGCAAGCTCTCAGCACAGTATGCCAAAAAAATCAACAGCCAAAGAGCTAGTATGTCTGTGTATTTGAAATTTAATATTTTTTAAAAATTTTGTATGTTTTTTCACACATTAGCACCTGGAAAATGCAATGGCGCGTACAACAAAAACGCTTATGAGAAACGCAAACAAAATATTTACCGCAGAAAAAACCCAATGTGAATTGTTTAGCAACAACAATGCGAAATGTTTGTTTTAGATGTTTTTTGAATTTTTTGAAACATTTTTTTATTTTTCTTTATTTTTTTCCAACGCCAAAGCAGCCATTGGCAAACAGTTAACTCTATTCGTGCAGCGTTTGTGTGAGTTCATTTTTTACACAAGCAAGAATAAGCTTTGAATTCTAATTTAATCACAGTAACTACACACATGCATTGCCCGTCAGCAACAACTCCAGGCGTCGCTTGGCTTAAATTAACGTTCGCGCGACTGAGACTATTCGATATTTCGTGCGCCATATTTTTACGCTTGCTGTCTCTGTTGCGCCGCGCAATTGGTTGGCTGACAATTGCTGGCATTAAGCATTTAAGCACGTAAGCACATAAGCAGATATGCATACACAAGTGTCACACAAATTCATACACATAAGTACACGCATGCATTTGGCAGCGCTGTCGCACAGAGAGATGTGTCGGCCATTTGAAAAACGCATGCGCGCACTTTTTCACATACAAATTAAGCAAAAAATTCACATACGAATTAAGCATTTTGAGCTGCGAAATACTTATATACGCAATTAAAATTAATTATTTAATTAGGAATTCAAATTAATAAGCGCTGGTAAATAATAGCCGCTAACTGCAGTCAAGCGAGTAATGAGAACGTTTGCAAACATTCTGATTTTTTGATAATTTATAACACTTTTTATTGTTGCAGCTATGCTATTTACAACGCGCAGCTGTCTAAAGTCGTTTTTCATATGAGAAAATATCAATACAAAAAGCATAAGTTTGCTCTTATTTATTAGCGGCGATTTTAATGACTTATTTACGACGCTTCGGGCACTGAATCAGCTCGCCATCTTAATAGCGAAATCGTGCTTACTTTATACCTACATATGTATATGTGTTACATATTTATGTTATACACAGTTTTGTTTAACGGTGCTTATGCGCCTACCTTAAGGCCTGTCTGGGTTGTTGCTTGTCGCGACAATTGCGTGGAGGAACTTAATAAATAATATTAAACAATATCTATTAGAACACGTTCTCGTGTGTGTAGTAGACATTCTAATTCATAAATGCCAATAAATGCTTCTAAATATTTTATATATTTCATAATACTTTAAGTCAATTTCTTTTTTTATAATATTTACACCTTTGCGACATTTGCGCTTTGTTTACACTATTTCCATCAAATTATTTCACATATTTTACATAAATATTGTATTTCAACGGCTCATAATTTAACACTAATTGCTGTAATGCAACAATTTATTTAGGACACAATAATGTCGCGCAGCAGGGTGGCCAGGTGGTTTTCATAAAATGCATTTATTTTTTTGATGGTGCATAATTAAAAAGGTTTTTAAAGCAACAATGATAAATACTAATAATTTATTTAGACATTAAATTTGTATGTAAAATTGTTTTGAGTTAAAGAAAGCATAGTACGTTTTTTTTATTGTAAAATATAAAAATAATTTCTAAAAAATTTAAAAAAAATCGAAGTTTGTTGAAGTATTTAATAAATTTTTTTTTATGAAAGAATTAATTTAATAATTGAAAATGCAACATATTAAAAGACTTTTGTTGACATTAAATGCTAGAAACTCTAAAAATATCAAAAAAAAAGTAAAAATAGCAGTGTTTGGAATATAGAATTCATAATAGCAACAAAAACATTTTTAAGCAATAAGGATGCGTATTGATAATTTATTTATTTCTTTTTTATTATTATTTTTTTTAATGTAAAAGCGTTTTTTGGCATAACTTTTGTTTATAGAAAATTATTTAACAATTTTAAGTTAGAGAAATCAAAATTTGTTGCCATATTGTATAATTTTTTTTATATAAAAGAAAGTTAAAATTACAATAAAAATCCGACATGCAACAAAAAAAATTTGTATTGACATTTTATCGTAAAATGTTCCAAAAAAGTTCATTTTTTAATGTTTCGAATTCAATAGCACAATATCAATCCAAAGAAATTCTTTTTTAAGTGAACATTTTTAATATACAAACTTTGTATATGAAATTACAAGTTCTAGTATCCAAAATTCAAGAATCTAAATAATAAAAATAAACTAAAATTCTCACCGAGTCAACAGACATTATACACAAAATAACACGCGGCAACTCTGTTTTGCATTTCACTTCTTATCGCGCCTTTTCCTAATATTTCAAAAATTAAATTATGGAATAGAAATCAGTTATGTAAAGAAAATAGATCAGAATCGCACCTATGTTTCATAATTATTATCTTAAATCTTATACATTACAACATTAAATAATATATTCTTTTTATTTAAAAATATCTGATACTATTTTAAATAAAAAATATATATATATATTATTTATAATTATACTGTTTGATACTTTAAATAAAATATAATAATTACATTTTTTTTGAGCTTGTTAAAAATCCAGTTCTCTGCTATCTTTAATTTTTTTAAACTTATACATTATAACATAAACTTTTTTTTAATAAATTTTTTTTAGTTATCGTTTTTTTTTTGACTTTCAAAAATTACTAGACTTTTTAGACTTTTCTAATTTTTTTTCTAGCGCTTGTTAATTTTTTTCACAATTTCAAGTAAAATATCTACTAATTAAGAAATTCAAAAATATCTATCATAAATATATATATATGTTTCTTGTTGATATAAAAAATTGCAAGCTCTGGCAGCTCTAAGCAAACTTTTTTCTTCAAACTGAGATCACATACCTAAACACAAACAAAAAATGTCAATAAAAATGCTTGCGCTAAAAAATGAGAAAATGCGATAAAATCATTATCAACTTCCTGCGCTTCGATTGAGTTTAGCACAGCAGCAGCGACCCCGTTAACCACTTCACACGCCGCATACGTCAATAGCCAATCGATGACTAAAATACCGCAAAGCCGCTAAATAGCAACAACACAAACATTCATAAACATATGTA